CCCTGGGGACCATGCAGGAGCCTCAGGTGGGGCAGCCTTCATGCAGGAGCCTCAGGTGGCAGCCTTCACCTGGGACCATGCCAGGGATATAGCCACACAGTTCTGTTCACCCCCACCCCCATCAGGTATTTCCAAATGCCAATCACGCACAGTGCAACAGCCACAATATCTGATAATCTTCCAACCAAAAAGTTGTGTGTTCAGTAAAGTGCATGGTTTTTGGAAAACAGAATAGTGTTTTCTGCTATAATTTGAAATCATCTTTGAGTCCTTTTCTTTGTTATTAGAGTCTGTGGACAAGATTGTTAAACAGAATGTTCAACAGACAGCTTTTTATTTTCTCAAGACTTGTTGCAGGCTCTCTACTATCCTGAAGAGTAAACCAAAGCTTTTGTTCTTCCTTACTTTGCTGATCCACCAAATTTCAGTCATTGTTAAGATGTATTTTTAGAGGCATGTTTTCTTATTTGAAAGTGAGTGGTACTTGAAATCATCTGAGACTTTCCGGGTGGTGGGCCTGTTATTACTGTTTAGAAAATGCTTCCTCGGAGCCACTTTTACTTGAACTTGACCTTCCTCCTTTCTCACCACACAAATATATTTAAATGCTTTTTCCCCAGGAAATTCCCCTGGTGGGAAATTGGTGTTTTCAACATTGTGTGAACACATGCAGTAAAATTCAGTCTTTTCACTAACCTGACTTGCATCTCAAAAACTACAGACAGAAAAAAGACGTTTCAATTATGCAGTAGCTACCATTACTTTAGCTACAATTTTTAGTTTTTAAATGAGTTTGTTGCTTTACTAACATAAGGGAATTCTCCACTTCTCCTTCTTGACTAGAGATACCAATTTTCAAAATAGACTTTGAACACAGAAGTACATAATTCTTGATGTATGTACTTAACTCCTGATTTAAAGAGTAAAGCCTAATCTTATGTCCACTGCAAGAGGCCAGTATTTGAAGTGCCCTGTGTTAGCAAATGCCGTTGCTCCATAAATCCTCTTCTAGCCACCAACCACAGTCGTTCTCAACTGCATAAACCTGGTAATTCAGATAATAATCACACAGGAGAGAATAATGTAAGGCTTGTAGAAAAAAAAAAACACATGGTTTCTGAATATTTTGAACATTTTTCATAGTACAGAACTGAGCAACTAAGCTTTTTGGGGTCCTTTCTGTCCTCTTAATCGTAAGAATGAGATGGGAATGAGATATCATGTTAATAACATGTCATTGTAAATGAATTCCAAAACAAATTTCGGAATCCTGAGTACCAATTCCTTGCTCATCTTACATCTGTACAACTTTAGTACACTGTCGGCCTGTGTTACTACAAAGAAGCTAAAATGTTCTTAGGAGATGAAATCATGTTTGGAAGGAATTGTTTTTTAAATGTCACTTTTCTTTGCCATACGAAAAGAAAAATGAGGAGTTAGCTCAATTGAGAAAGGAGGGGAAAAAGAGAGACTTAATCCTGACATTTCTAGTAAACACGGGCGAATCCCGCTGTTCCCCAACCCCTTCAGGCTTAAAATTTGGCCACAATTATATTTGTCAGCCACCACCCTCTCCTGCTCCCCTGCAGTTGATGAACTTGAGGTGCCTTATAGACACATCCCTGTGGAAAGAGGGAGTGGAGCTTAGGTGTCTATTCCAAAGTCCGGAATCATCTCTTCTGCACCTCTTAACCAGAGCAAGCCTCTGGTCCTCTCCGATCTCCACTGGGTCATTGCGACTGGTCACTGGACCGTGTCCTGTCCAAGGCTCCCTTCTGACCCACATCGGCCTCCCCACTACTGAGCTCCCCCAAGATGCAGCCACAGCTGCTCCTTGACCCAGGACAGGGTACCTCCCCCTCTGGGCAGATTACCTGACATTCTTACACTGGCTTACTCGGCAGGGGACCTCTGAGGCCTTGAGCCCTGCTGGGTCCAGGAAGGGCAATAGAACTTTGGTCAGCACCCCACTTTTCCATCTTCAACAGGGGTGGGGGACACAAAGGGGTGATTGCCTCAGGTATTTGTAATGGCAGCCCCCTCCACTTTCATACCTGGTGCTCTTGTCCAACCTGCATCCCTTCTCTGCCCAGTGTGGGTATTCTGGATGGATTCCAAGGACACTGAGCACCCCTGTGGTCACAGACCACGGCTCTGAAAGGTCCCTGCCTGACTTCCCCTTCCTCGGCACCAGCCATGCTGCTGGCATGATGCTTTCGTTCCGTTTGCAAAACCAAGCTTCCGTCCAAAGATTGCAGCCCAACCACAAGGAGCTGTGTACACATTGCTCTCCTGTTCATCTCTCTTCATAGCAGCGAAACTGTTGCTTTTGCTCCCACTACAAAACTCTCAGAAGCCCACACACTTCCCTAACTGCCCAGCGACTCCCATGCTGGCCAAGGAACTCACTTCTTTCTTGGAAAAGCGCAGGTCGGGCCTGGCATTTCTGTGCTGGGCTCACCTGGGAAGAATTCCCCTCTTACCTTCGCCTCTGCACGCCTTTCTCCCTCCCGGCCTCTGCACTTCTGCTTCTCCCGCGGGTCTCGTGCAGGCTTCCCACGCCGGCCACAGGTGACTGACTTCTAGACTCATCTGCTGCCACTTAAAAGGCAGCGTGGTCGTATATCGTGCATGTCGAGGAAACTTGTGCCATCTTTTGAATGAGGTGGCAGTAACTTATCCTGAGTTCTGCCTACTGATGTAATGCTGGAAATTTCCCATGCAAAGGCACACCGAATGTTTCAGAACAAAAGTTTTTTTTTATCTGGCTAACCTCCTTCGCCCTAGAGAACTTATCGCTGTTGACCAGTTTCTCATACCAGAATGACGGATCTGTAAGTCAAATACACACTTAACCCTACGTAGCCATTGTTGGTCACTCTGAAATCGGTTCCCAGCAAAGGCAAGGGTGGCTTTTACTTTCCAGACTCTACATCATTCTTCATCCAATACGAGACAGATACCCGAATTAGCCTTCCGTCCATGGCTCATTTCCGAGATGGTCAGGTTCTCCTCTATCATCGAAGGATGGAGGCGAGGCCCAGACAGTGTCTAGGAGACAGATGACAGAAGGACAGAGGATATTGTCAGCATCATGATGAGAAACGTTTGCAATAACAGGACCTAGAGATGGGCACAGGCGCCTCCCGGGGGCAGGTGACTAACATGTTGGTCTGTAGGTCTCCTTCTCTGTAAAATAAGGACAAGAATGCCCATCGGGAGCTTGGCGAGGTAACAAGTGACTGATAAGCAAGTCAGCAGCTGGGCCTGGAGTGAGGAGGGACAGGGGAAGAGCTCGTCTTTTAGGCCCATGCCCCGGCCTGCCCACATGCCCAAGAACATTCCCTGTGGCCTTCACAGGCCCAGAATGTCACCCCATGTTGAAATGTACTGCCGAGGTCCGCCCCACCACATGACAATACGGGCCCCACTCTGATGTCCCTTCTCCCGCTTTCTCTAGTGTCCCTCCTTAGTTTTTGGAAGACCCCAGCCATAAGTGGGCAGCCTGTGCTGGGGGTCACAGTCTCCCCAGGGCGGGCACTGGAGGCCAGAGGATTAGCAAGTAGTGGAGGGAGCCGATGGAAGCCTGTCCGCGCACTGGACACGCGTCAGGCTGGAGCCGGCACTTGCAGCCGGTGGAGGCCATTCTCTGTCTTCGTGAAGCGCACTGCCCCCTGGAAGGGGTGTCCTGTGCAGACATCCGACCTGTCCGCAGCTACCAAGGCCTCGTGTGCTTCTGTGCCTGAGACTCCAGCCCCTCCCGAATCCTTGCGCCCCAAGAGGGGCTGTGATGAGCTCACGGGCTCCTAGAGGTGCGCTAGTGAGTTGTGTCTTCTGCCCACCACGGGCTTCCTAGAGCTCGAGGCGCAGAGTGGGCGGCTGGAGACAAGCTACGGTATGAGCTGATAGTGAAGAGAAACTGACTGACGTGTAACGTAGGATGGGCTGAAGTTGTGTGTTTTTAATCTCATATTTCGTGCAGGGCTGGGCTGAGGATGTGGCAGGCATGGCGTGTGCCCTACGTTCACTGCCAGAGGGGGCTCCCTGCCTGCCACAGGTGAGAGCCAGCTCTGGGCACCTGCCCCGCTGGGGGAGGGGTGGTGGGCCCCGTGGGGGAGGGGTGGGGACCCTGCCCCACCTCTAGGGTTCCCCAGGAGGACGCGGCCGCAGCATCATAAGCCTCACGTTCTGGTTGCCTTTTTCCTTGATCATCAGTGAAGTCGGAACAGATGAAAACCCCGTGGGGTTTGACTGGCACAGAGTCCCCTCTCCTCTGGCACACACATGCAGGACGTAAAGTGTACGTGCAGATGTCAGCAGAGCGGGCCTCCCTACGCCCAGGAGCTGAGCGGGCGTGCTGGGCCCCCTGGCGAGAGCCCGCTCAGCAGGAAGCCCAGCGTGCCCCGCGGGGTCCCAGCCCCCAACCCGCTGCCTGCCTCGCTTGAGAAACTAGGCCCTGCATGATGGCCCCGACAGAAACATGCTGATCCCCATGTTTTGTATTTTTTTTAATTTAACGATTTTGACTCTTGGTTTGCAATGTATTTGCTTCTTCGCTTTTTCTGACTCACTGTTACTCAACAGCTCCTGCCCTCCGGGACCTCCAGGGCTCCAGGGTTCTCTGCCAAAAACCGCGCACTCATCCTTGACGGGCCCCTGGGCCTGCAGTTCTTCCTTGCCTCTGCCTGCCAGTAGCCGGCCCTTCCCTAACTTAAAGCATCAAGCCCACAAGCCCACACCCACACACACACACGACTTTCCAACTGCACGAAGCTCTGGCCCCACAGAAACCAGGCCCAGTGGCCAGATTTGCCTGAAGTTGTGGTCACCTGCCGGAGGCCCCCGAGTGACCCGCTGACCGGTGTCTGAGCTCACCCCTCCTGCCGCCAGGTCCTGGCCAGTCCACCTCGCTGGCGCAGGTGGAGCGTCTGCAGAGCCCGCGTGCCGCGGCTTCTCCTCCTCCGCCTGCTTCTGACGCCCTTTGCGTCCTGTCTCCGCAGTGGTCAGTTTACATCCGAGCTGCGGTCCGGAAGGAGAAAGGCCTGCCCATCCTCGTCGAGCTGCTCCGCGTGGACAACGACCGTGTGGTGTGCGCGGTGGCCACAGCGCTGCGGAACATGGCCCTGGACGTCAGGAACAAGGAGCTCATCGGTAGGTCCCGCGGCCGCCGGCCGCCGTTGGACGCGACTTGCCGCCGGCTGGGCCGCGCGCGAGTCCTGACGCGGAGCGCGCAGCACGGCGCGTTTACCTGTGTGCAGAGCACAGGGGTGTGCGGACTCGCGCGTTTGTGCGTGTGCAGTGCACACGCGCAGACACGGAGCCGTTGTTCCGGGCTCTGTTTCTTCTCCAAGCCTCAGGCACTGATGTACCTCAGAATTTAGAGGAAAATTCAGTGTTGTTGACATTTCTAATACTTGCAGGTGAAAGGCGGCCGTGGTGCTCAGCACTGGAAACGGCCCTCGGATCCTCTCCATGCCGGTTAGGCTGTGCGTTTGCCACCTGCTGTCTCCCCACTTCCCTCGTGAGCTGGAGTTCAGACGGGCCCACCTGCTGCTTTGCTTGACCCGTCGATTTGGTCATTTATTTTGGATGAGGCCATACTGGCTCCTTCATCCCACTTTTACAAAATCATCTCCCTTTAATCTGGTGTCCAAGAGAAATGGGGAGAGTCTGTTGCTAACGAAGTGTTTGCAGGGGAGGTTGGACTCTCGTCTACTTATGCCCCAAGTACTGGCACGTGACCTGCCTTTTGGAGGCCCAGAGACTCCATCAGACCCCGAGGGAGGGAGCCTGGCCCCGGGGACTGTTCTCAGCAGAGGGGGCCCTGCGTTGAGAGGCCACGTGGAGTAGCCGGACGGCTGCTGTTGGGGAGGCTGCGCTGTTGTTGATGGAGACAACAGTCTCGCGGCATTGGGTAGCTGCTGGAAGGGTGCTGTTGCGGCCTTGGGCATCTTCGCGCTGTTGCACAGCCCCTCCTGTACATCACAGTATGTGCCATCTTCCAGAACATTGCGCCGGTGGGAAGCCCTGGCCCTCCCATGGACAGTCCCGTGTTCACCGCCTCCCCACAGGTCCGAGCCGCCAGGCTGGTGTCTGCTTCTGTGCATCTCCCTGTTCTGGAGACTAGTAACAATGGAGTCATGTAACATGTGTCTTTATGCCTGGCATCTTCCAGTGAGCATAAGTGGTTGGCATTTCAGTGGCGGCCCAGGTCATGATACAGGTGTTGTCAAGGGGGCCTTTGAGCAAAGGCATCAGGGGCGGGGTGGCAGCGTGGTGGGATGAGCATCTTCCTTGCGGGAGTAGCTCCTGCCCAACAGCCTAGAAGGGGCACTGGGACCTGGGGTGGCTTCCAGGTCTCGAAGGGGCCCAGGGGCTGGAGGAGAGTGAGCGCTGGGTGTCCAGCTCAAAGTGGTTTCTGGCGCTGTCCTGTAGGGGGAGATGCCCAGGTCGAGGCTGGGGATGCCCAGGGGACCATGCACCTCCCACAGACCATGGTCCTGGTGCGCCCCTGGGGTGCAGAGCTGCTGCCACGCCCGGCTGGCATCGACTGCAGGTAACAGGAGTCGATCTGAACCACTGATCATGCCAAAGGTTTGCTTAATACACAGGTTTATTAAAGCACCTGGGTCTGTTTCTAATCCCCAAAATGCCACTTTTCCTGCCGTTCCAGGGTGTCCATATGATCCTCCAATAAGAACCTAAGAGTCCAGACATTTATTTACTCACGGGGACACCGGGTTTCAACCCAGAGCCTAAGAATACAATTATTTGCTCTACACACATAATGCGCGCGTTATCAGTCATTACAGGCATGCCCTAAACTTGCTGTTGGTATTTAGTTTGATTTTAATGTAAATATTTGCAGGGCTTGTGTATTTGAACTAGGCTGTTAGCTAAAAGGGTCAGGAACCCTCCCTATCCGCCTTCCTTTTCCTTATCATCAATTCAGACAGGCAGAGCTGGGGCTTCTATTAAAATCCGATCGCACCTCTATAAAATGGAGGAAGGATCAATAGCTCATCAGCCTGCTGCCTGGGATACTGCCCGGTAGGGTGCGCCTGGGTGTTTTATTTCCTTTGGAGGGTTAAAATATAACAAAATAGGGAAGTATCGATCGGTCTGCAGCTCCTGGGTATCTCTTCGTTCCCAGAAGCCAGCCATCTCGAGCTTTCTGCACAACAGTTGGCTCTCCATATTGCCCGTGTTAAATTAAGCCTTTACTATCAAATGGCACAGACAGGAAGGGAGCCAATCCTTTAAAAATAGAAGCGAAAATATCTATGTCACTGGCTTTATGGAATCGATAACTTTTTTGAATGGGAAAATATAATTTAACTAAAAACCCCACACCATTATATTCTACTTAGGATAAAGGAAATGGGACCTTTGCTGGTGCTTTTATTTTAAAAATGGTTATCGAAGTAGGGCTTTGTTATGGAAAAAATGCTACACAGCTCTGGACACACTGAAAACAAAGCTGCTGTAACTTTGAACCAAAAATGAAAAACGTTCATTGGGGCTCCTCTTTTCTGTCAGTTCTCACTCATTCTCAGCAAACGTCCACCTACTGTCCCCTGGGTTTCTCCATGCCTCACTTTCAACCCGTCAGCTGGTGCAGTGCGCCAGTTGTAAAGTTCAGTCGTCTTTTCCGGCCACCACTGCCCAGCACTGGCGACTCCCAGATCCTGTGTGCAGCTGTGCAGTCAGCAGCTCTGCTGAGCATTTGACAGGCAGATGTAACAGCTCCGCACCCGAGTGCCCAACTTCTGCCCAAAACAGACCATTGCCCACCCTTCCCCGTTTGTGGCTCCTGGCAGACACCTAGGGTTCTTCATGCCTCACATTCAGCCCATCAACAAGTCTGGTCTTCCCTTGCAAGAATTGCCCAGAACCTGACACTTTTCGTCTTCATCTCTTTTCCCCTGATGCAGAATTCCCATCACCCCTCCAGATCATCACCCTGTCCGCCTGGTCTCCTGTTTCTCCATTAACCTCCGCTGTCTGCTCACAATGCAGCAGCCAGTTCCTGTAAAAACCTGCCTCCGGCCGTGTGATTCCTCCACTCTGGCCCCCTCATGGTGCCTCATCTGTGTCCGTCTCTAACGCAGTCCTTGCAGAGCAGAGCGGACTCTGGACGAGCAGCTCTCCATTCCTATTCCTCCTCACTGCTCCCCTCTCACTGCCATCCCCAGCTTTGTTGCAGACTCTGGGTGACTGTGGCTCCTCAGTGTATAAACCACCATCCTGCCCCTGGGCCTTTGAACTGCCTCCTCACCTGCAGTCCTCCTCACCCAGGAACCCCAGCCTCCCCCTGCTCAGTCGGGCATGCAAGCGTTATCGTCACCATTTTTAAAATTCTACAGCATCCCCTACACCCTCCACACCAATCCTCGTTTTCCTTGCACACCTCCCTCCTTCCTCACGGGAATGCAAGCCAGTGCAGGGCAGTCAGCGTCTGCTCACTGGCCCAGCTCGTGGACCTGGAACAACACCTGGTTCATAGCAGTAAACACTTGGTGTGTGAATAACTGAACTAATTTTTTTCTCATCTGGTCATCATCTTAAATTGAACTCTAAATCAACAAATTGTTAGGTAAGCAAGTTAAGTAAAACATTAACTAAGGGAAATGATTTTATGTAATTTTTAAACATCATCAGAAAGTCAGTTTGTTTTCTCTTAAAATTTAAAAACTGTTTGCAGACACTCAGAATTATAAGAGGGGTCCTTCTTCCATCAAGGGTTCTGGCATTTCTGTCGAACTGAGAACTCTTCAAAGATCATTCTCGGAGTAGCTCCCCCCCATGGAGTGGGAGGCTGGCATGGTCTCTCCGATAGTGTGGCATTCAGCAATGCCCCTGCCCCGTCGGGTCTAGGAGGATCATTTAGAAGCCCTGAAAGGATGCCACGTGCTCTGCTTCTCTGTGGCCTTCCCATTGCACTATCTGAAGTTTCATGTCCGCCTCTGCCGTCGGGTGATAAGTGGGCTACAGGAAGATTTTTTTTTTAAGATTTATTTATTTATTCATACAGAAATGGGGTACAGGTCAAAGATGCGGAGGGTGAGAGGCTTCACCAGAGACAGAGTTGGGAGCAGAACAGGCAGATCAACGAAGTACACTGCTGAGGGGAGCAGCGGGCGGGTCAGGAGAGGTCTGCCTCGCCATGTGGAGCTCCTCCGGGGCAGACGGGGATCGAACTCATGCAGAAGTGGCTTTAGCTTCTTAGTGCTGTGCTTCATCCCGCTGTGCCACCAGGGAGGGCCCGGGCTGCAGGAAGATTTTAAATGATACGGTGCAGTCTTTTGAATGATACATACATACATGTTGAATGATAGCCATATATTTGTTTGCAACCTCCCAGAAATGTTAATTGACTTTGTCGGTGGGTGGTTATTTCATTATTCAGAAAGGTTTTGAAACATGAATGGTGGCAATGAACTTTCATGGAAGAAAGTATTATATTGCTTTTTAGCAAGTGTAGGAAATGGCCTACACTTCAGCACCCTGGACAGTTCCCTATGCCCTTAGTGGTTCCTCGTTCTAGCCAACCCCACCTATCTGACAAGTAAACAAAACAACAAATTTTTTTAAAACCTTAGAGTGCATACAAGTACTGCACAAGAGGTACTGAATCTACCACTTGGCTGGCCCTGGTCATGAACCCATTGTGAGTCATCCTTGGGAAGAGCCATGAAAGGCATCCTGTGGTATGTGCTCATTTATTTTGCGGCACTTTCAGACAGCACAGAATATCAAAAGAGCTTCCAAACAGCTCTAAGTCTCACAGGGGCACTGCCAGTGAAGTTCCCAACATGTTGTTGAGCTGTGAGTGCCTTCTTGCCACATTTGATGTCCTACCCACACACACCCCGATCCGCCTCTACTCTCTAACAGCTCTCTGGCACAAATCCTGCGGCACACCAGCTTTTGTGCCATCCTTCCCACCTGCACACCTTTGCCCGAGGTGCCCCCTCCTGGCACACTCACTGTTCACATACCAGCCTCCCACCCACCGCTCCATGCCCAGCTCAGGGTGCTCCGCCAGATGAAGGCTGCGCCCTGAACTCCAAGACGAGTCGGCAGCTCTTTCGTCTTCTGTGTAATGCTGCGCATGTACTGTCTTAACTGCTTTGCTTTATGTATCGCCTCTGCCCCAAAGAGATCACAAACAGAGCCCAGGCGATGTGTTCACTTTTCTGTCCTACATTGCCAAGCACCTTGCTGTATACCCAGAGCAGTCACCCAGCACATATTTGCCAAACCAATTAGCTGATAGATGCATAACAAGGGCTGTTTAGTCTGCAGAGCAGATCCACAGGAAGTTTGGGGATTCAAGGAGAGGAAGGTGTAGAGGGGATGTTTGGTTTAAGCTCTTTCCACAGTGTCCAGGACATTGAGGAGAGAATGGCACTTGGATACCTGCACATGCAGGACTTCAGTCAAACTCATTCCACCGCTGCTTGGTGAGAGGTGTAGGGTTGGGTAGGAAAGAGTAGCGCTTTCTCCAGCACCTCCAGTCGCAAAGGTCCATGTTGGCAGAGCTGATGCACCATCATGGATGATACTGGCGGAGTAGCTGAACACCATCCTGCTTCCTTGGCCGGGGGCTGCTTGCCACACTCCTGGAAGACGAGCCACGGTTGGGATGCCGGAGGCTTCCTCTCAGCTGCCCCTACTGCGCTGCGATGGACATGCCCTTCTGCCCCCCCCCTTCATCCTCCGCTGTCCCTGCTCTGCTCTGCTGCTTTTTCAAAAGTCTGGTCGTCACCCCTGCACTGAGGCTAAGAACCCCTCGCTGGCTGATGTTCTGAGCCTTTTTCAACATTTGGGGAACCTTCTTCCCACTGTCAGCTGGTTGAGCTGCTATCCAGGGCACACCCTCGGTGTGTTCCAACCCCAGTGGAAACTCACCCTTTCTGGGGCCAGGAGGGTTTTTTCCTGGGGGGAGTCTGATGGCCACTTAGTACAGGCATCCCCTAGAGGGCGCACTGCCTCCTTTCCACATGACTAAAGTCATCGACCAAATAAGGATAGTTTCTTGCCATTGGAATTAGTTGACCTTCCAAGCAATAAATGCATCCTGCTTCTTCCCCTCACAGGGGGGTTCACATGGCCCCTGCCATTCGGGTCAGGAGCAGACAGCCTGCCCTGCCTCACTTTTTTCCTCAGGCCACTGTCTGTTTTAAATATTCAGATGAAAAATGTTGCCTGTTTGTAGACAATGGCCGCTCATTATATCCAAATGACGGCCTTTTTTATTGATTTCCTTTTGAATTTTTTTTAGTTAATTTATTTGAAAGGCTTTCGTTAAAAATTGTTAAGGAAAAATGGTCACACTGCCCATAGAATGAGTCACATTCAAGCTCCCAAGCCTGAGCTTTACTTAGTGAGAGATGATTTTCCTTTGGGGGACTGGTGAAGAAGGGGGGATCTTCATTTCTTCCCCGTCTGTCTAGGTGTTGCATTGCTTTGTAAGCATACTTTTATTTCGTGATCTCGAAGGTGAATTTTTGAGATGTGTGTCCTTGGAATTCTATACCTAGAAATCCTAAT